TTTTTTTTTTTTTGTCTTTTTGAGACAAAGTATCACCATGTAGTTCAGGCTGCCCTTAAATTCACTTTGTAGCCCAGGATGGTCTCGAACTCCCAATGATCCTCCTGCCTCAGCCTCCTGATTACTGGGATTATAGGCATGTACCACCACAACTGGCTCTAAACATTTCATTTTGAAAAATTACCAAAGTTTGTGCTTTCTGTTGAAGAACAAACGAACATAACAGATTTATTTTGTACAATAGGGAAAAGAAGGCCAGAGTATCCAAAGAACATTTTTGTGCAGAAACTATTTCTTTACCACTTCTGGCCAGGAGCCTCCTGTGCTCAGCCTGAGGCTGCTCTTCAATCCTTCTCCTCTCTATAAACCAAGGGTTTCCATTTGCTAGTGGCCATGAAACTTGCTTGTTCCATTATGTGTTCAGTTCTGCACAGGGGACTGCAGAGTTGTGAGAAGAAAGGAGGGATCCAGCCACAGGAGCATTTCACAGCGTGGATAATGCATGTGGTGGAATGTGACTGGCAATGAAAACATGCATGCTTGTCTGAGAGCCACATGGTGGTGGGGAACTGGAGTTCTAAGAGGCAGGAAGAAAGTCTGTCATTGAGAAAGGCTTGCAGGGCTTGTGGGAAGTCAGAAGCAGTGAGTCTGGTTCAGACAGACTGAGGAAGAGGAGATGGTCCTCTAAGAGGCAGGGACCAGAGAAGGGCCACCTGTATGCAGCTGAAGCCATTGCTCCAAAATCCTGTCTGTTAGAGTTTGGTCATCTGATTAAGAAACACAGATGGGACAGGTCAATGCCTTTTTCAGAGTTGAGGAAGATGTTCCATCTTCATTGTTACTTCCTAGTTGTTTTTTTTTTTTTTTTTAAACATTTCTCAGGATAAAAGTAAACACAGGAACCGCTCAACTGAGCAACTTGGAGAAACTCTTTAGCTGTCTGTCAAAGCTGGCAGGATTTCTAAGCTATCAGTGCTTGCTTTTTCTTGGAAAGTGGCAACTTCCTGTGGCTTCTCTTCACACTTTCATTGCTATTAGAGCCCCTAGTATGTTTATTTGCTCACTTAATCTTGGCATGACAGCAGTAGCCACTCACCACTTGGGTCTGGTGTGCCACCTCCATGGAGAGAGCTAGCAGGCGACTGTCCACTTTCATGGAATGCTTCAAAGACTGTCACCCAGGCCCTTAGCTTCTGGTTCCATAGATCAACAAAGATGTAGAAAATAAAGCACAGTAAAAACAATACACACTTTAGAAGGTCTTCTCTCAGTGTACATCCTCAAACCCAGCATCATATATCATGTACAAGAAACTGTCATTTTTATACACTCAACTCTTAGCAAAAAGAACAGCACAGCCACTGACCGCGCCCCTCAGACACATCTTAATCTGCTTTCCCATGACCAGGCTTTGGTTATCTGTTCCTTCAGCAGCTGCGCCTTCGGTAGTGAGAGGAAATGCTTCGAGCACAGGCATGCTAGGGACAGAAGTGGCAACTGGCATCTGCACGTGGTGGCGTGTACCTGTAATTCCAACATGCAGGAGGCTGAAGCAGGAGGATGGCTGTGAGTTTGAGGCAAGTCTGGGCTACATAGTGAGTTCAGGGCCAGTATGAACTACGGAGCAAAACTTTCTCTCAAAAACAAAACAAAACGAGATAGCAACTAACCAGTATCGTCACAAATGCTCCAGACATCTGTGTCAGTTGTCACTTTTCATTAGTGCTGTGCATGTTTGCAGCCTATAATGACATTTCTTGTGGGGAGCTGATGTGTGCACACAACACGTCATAAGTTTTTCATTCCTTTCTCTGTTCTCCATCCGTGTCTTGGTCTCCTTCCTTTGTTCAAAGATCTAGCTCCCTGTTTCCTATTATCTAGCTTTTTTTTTTTTTACTCTGTGTTGTATTTCAGGTTTCTCATATAAGAAAAACCATATGATTTTTAAGTTTTTGGGTCTGATCTATGTCACTTAGCATTATGGCTTCAAGACACATTCCTTTTCTACAAATGATTCAAGTTCATCTTTCTTTATGACAAAGAAGTATTGTGTTGGGTATAAATACCATATTTTCTTTACCCCGTCATCTGGTGATAGACATATCAGCTGCTTCCAAGCTGTAGCTATTATGAATTGTGCTGCTATCAACATAGGAGTGTGTGTATCACTAAATAGGATGCCACGAACTCTCTGGGGCAGATACCTAGAAGGGGATTAGCTGGGTTGAATGGGATTTCTAGTTTTAGTTTTGAGGAACTTCCATCCTGATTTCTATTTATTTTTCCTCTTGATCATATCTGGAGTAAAAAAGGAGTATATACAAGCAAGAGCCCCTTTCTCTATCCCATTCCAGTACTGTTGTCCTGTCTTCTTTTCTCCCCTGTACAAAAAGGAGTAGAGGAGCACCCACTTGCTTAATAACAGTCAGAGACCTGTGCCAAGATCCCGAGTCCATGACCTCCTGGCCTTGTGGTGCTGCACTCTCCAGAGTCAGTTCCTCAACTGCACCAGGGAGCCACCATGCTTGGCTACCCGTCCCCAGGGCTATGCTAATGCGAGGTGCACATAACACACACACACACACACACACACACACACACACACACACACACACAGAGAGACAGACCATGCAGTTCCTATCCTGTGTTGGCAGGAAGAAGATGATTATGAAAGCCCCAATGACGATCCGGAGGGGGAGGACGATGGTGACTACGAGTCCCCCAATGAGGAGGAGGAGGAGGCGCCTGTGGAAGATGATGCTGATTATGAGCCACCGCCCTCCAATGACGAGGAGGCACTGCAGAGCTCCATCCTGCCTGCCAAGCCCTTCCCCAACACCAACTCGATGTACATTGGTGAGTGCCATCCCTGACCTTCAGCCTTGGCAGCCCCAAGCCTCACTTGGTACTAGAGGGTGGGGGGGCTGATGCCTGGTGCTGCAGTCTGGGTATTGGTGCTAGCTCAGTTTCTTAACAGCTATGTGGCTTGGGACAAGTGACTCCACCTCTCTGGGCTTCAATGTGCTTATTGGTGAAAGGGTAACAATAGCACACACCACATAGGTTTGCTGTGAGGATGATGAACTCATTGCCTTCAGTGGCTACCATCAATACTGAGGCCCTCAGAAGTGTATTTTACAATCATAACTTATTTGGTGGGCTACTCCAGGTACTCCACAGTGTTTTTCTGTTCCTCCTACCTTTGGACCAAATCATAGTTATGTGGCACTGCCACCTACAGACTGCCAGAATAAAAATAAAGGTATTGAATGCAACTTTAAAACATTTAGATTGGCTTTAAGATTTTCATCTACTTGTTTCAGCCAAACCATTTCTCTGTCACTGACTGATTGAGTCATTTATTCAATAAATTAACAGATCTCATACTATCATATGGACACAGTTCCAAATGCTAGACTCATCAGGAAAGAAAATTCAGTCTGGCAGGGCTTGTATTCTACCATTGGTGATGACAGAAAACACACACACACACACATATGAATGCACACACACTGATGCACTGATACATTTGATACTTTATAATGTTAAACACTTTGCAATTTTGAAGCTCTTTCCAAACCCTATCCCAAGATCTTGCTTTGTTTTCAGCATCCTGTGTAATGCAGCTAGCAATGATCAAGTCTCCTTCATAGTTAGGGAAGTTGAGATCCAGAGAAGTCAGAAACTAAATTGTGGAACACCTCATACGTGCCAGTTACAAGACAGTGGGCAACCAACACAGTTCTCAGTCCAAAAGAGTCATTGTCCAGTGGGTGACGGAACATCAAATAAATGAGTCCCAAATTATTTAATCTAAAAATGATACATAATTAGGAAACTGGTGTAGGAGATAGCTTGTTTCCTTTCTCCTATGGATATTAAGATGATGTTAAAGACTATTAAGTGTGCAAAGGTAAATGAGTGTAGATGTGTCAAAGAAAGAGAATTCAAAGCAGAAGGCCTATGACAAAGGGCCTGTGGTCTGAAGCTACTTGGTGCATTAGAGGCATGAAAGGTGGTTCATGCGGGTGGGAAGTGAGGGCAGGCTTGCGCTTACTTGGAGCCCTCTCTGGAAGGACGGGTTTCCCCCAGACCTGGTCCAGGATGCGAGTGCAAGCAGGCCCTGGCTCCTTGCCTCTCGTACCTCCCAGTCTTGTCCTTTCTGCATTGAGAGGGTAAGAAGGTGCCAGCCAGTTGAAATGAGCTAAGGGAAAGTTGAGTGATGATCAGAAGGGATGTAGTGTTTGTGTCTGTGGCACATCCATGCACTGTTTAAGACTTCTCAGTTTGGTGACAGAGTTGGTGACCAGCTCCTTCTTGTCAGGGAGGAGATGAGCAAAGCAGGAAGAGGGAGGAGAAGACAGCCCAGGGCATTTGCGAGGGTGTGAGGGACAGGCTGGGGCACAGAAGAGGCTCCCATGGTGGGCAACAACCAGCTTAGCCCTTCACAGGCAGCTGGATGTGCTGCACGAGTGTGTGAGTGTGCCTGTGTGTGTGCATGTATGTTGGTGTATACATGGAACTGTGCAGACATGCATTTACATACATATGCACGTGTCTGTGTGTATACTTGCTTGTCCATGCTAGTAGAAGCATGTGCACATCTCCTGTCTTCACAATTTTTGTCCAAAATCACTGCCTTCTCATGTTAGATAAGCTAATTCCTAAGAGCTCTTTCGTCGTTGGCGACATTCCTGATGAGAGATGAAATAAGTAAGAGTTGCTCATAGGTATTCAGAGCGTGAAACAAACTTGGACAGAAAAAGGGACAGGCAGGGGGCCTGCGAGCTCCCACCTCTTGTGGAAGCCAGGCTGGGTCTTATGGCTGGGGTGGGTGCAGTCTGGAGCCTGAGGCCCTGGTACTCCTGATGCCCCGAGTTGCCCAACACTGAGGACATCTGCTCCCAGGCACCCCGGGGTTGGCCGGTGCTCACCCGCTTTCCTGTTTCTCCTCTCACATCCATCTGCTTGTGTTTCGGCAGACCGGCCTCCTGCTGGAAAACCCCCACAGCAGCCTCCAGTGCCGCCCCAGAGACCCATGGCTGCTCTTCCTCCGCTGCCCGGTGCCCGGAATCACTCAGTAGGTCTCTGCCCCTTCTTCGTGGGGGCTTTGTGTCCACTCTGATTATTCCTTTTACCAGCCGTAAAATAAACTCTTTAATTCTTACCCTGTAAGAAAAGATTATATCTAGGCTGGGAAATCTGTACCCAAGGGCTCAGAGTTTCTGGTTCAGGGTTGAAATATTAGTGGTTTCTATTCGCATCCTAGTGCTTATCGCTATTTTCTTTGTATCATAAACAATATAAGCTGCTTGTATAATAAAAAGTCCCATTCAAGTGTTCCTTGTGCTGTGATTTCCCCCTTTTTGCAATAGGTAAAAACTGTAAAATAAACTCCAGGACAAGTCAATTAAGGCCCTGACGGTTAGGGTGTTGCTTGCTTCCGGAGCCTTCCGTCTCTTGCAAAAGAGCTTGCGCCACCTGCTGTCCGGAGCCTGAAATCCCAGGGACAAAAACCTTCAGATTAAAGATCAGAAAGTCTGCAGAGAAACGCGAGGCAGCAGGACCCTTTTTCCTTTTCCTCAGGCATCCAGTCCAACTCCTGCGATTCTAAAACGTTTTCAGGATGACCCTGAGAGGCCTTTAAGCTCAGACTAAAGAATTGTAGCTCGCTATCTGTCTTCTTCTTAAGTGACCTGAGCATTTTGAAAATTTTAATTTAACTTCATTTTTGAGACAGTGTTTGCTATGTAGCTCAGGCTGGCCTTGAACTCACTACGTGCTCTAGGCTGCCTCAGACTCACAGCAGTCCTGCTGCCGCAGCCTCTGGAGTGCTGGGATTCCAGGCATACGCCTGCCAGTGACCTGAACACATTTATAATTGTAACAAATGTCAAAGTATCAGGACCAGAAGGAGGGAGACAATATTTTTCCCCGAAGTGCAAAAATGCAGACTGCACCACAGCAGGGACCTTCCACCTGCAAACAGAAGGTGCAGTCCTGCTGTGCAACGATATTGAAAGGGTGTTCTCAGAGCCAAATTTATGTACAAACGCTTTTCAGTTCAGAACCCAAAGGCCCTCACCTCTGCTCCTGGAGTGCAGAGGCAGCTGATTTTGTCAGTGGATGATGACTGGGCAGCTGCTGTCAGCCAGCCAGTGTTCTGGGGACTGGGGATGAGCAGGACAAATAAAAGCTCTTTCTCCAAGCATTGCTTGGGCCAGAGAAAGACTGACGATGTACATGTAAGCAGCTGTAGAAATGACTTGAGCAGTTACCTGAGGGTAGGGAGACAGAAGGCCAGGGAATGTGATGGCAGGTACATGGCGCTGGGACAGAGGAAGGCATCTTGGGGAAGAGCTGGGAGAAAAGCATTCAAGTTGGGCAGAAGAAGCCCAAACACAGAGATGCCCAAGAGGGTATGAAGTTGAGATTTTCCAAAACCCTCAAGCATACCTGTAAGGTGGGGTCCACTGAGTCTGGAGAGAAAGACCAATAATTGGGCTAACAGGTGGGCAGGTGTCAGCTTGGACAGGACACTGCAGGTCATGGCAAGTTTCCGGTTTGTTTCTAATATAATCAGAACCATTGAGGGGTTATCGGGGACTCTCGTGCTCACACTATCCTGAAGAAAGCCCACTGTCTGAGGGAGGGAGGAATAGCAAGCCTAGATGGGAGGCCACCATGTAGCTCTGCTGAGAAACGCAGATGGCCAGTTGCCAGGGGAACACGAAGATGGAGGAAAGTGAACAGATTGACACATGTCTGGGAAGATAAAGCTGCCAGGGCTCGTGGGTGCCTTGCAAATGCTTCCTAACACTTGGATCTTTTTTCCGTGCAGCCATTGCCCCCGCCCCAACCCAACCAAGAGGAGACCAGCAGAAGCCGAAACAACAAGCCAGCAAAGCGTAAGCATGAGGCTGCCCTCTCTGGCTCACCATCCACCCATAGCCTGCTCCCGCCCCTGCTTTCTCCTTCTGACTGACTGCAGCCTTTGCCCTTCCAGTGCCTGCTCCATCAATAGACAGAAGCACAAAGCCTCCACTAGATCGCACCTTAGCCCCGCTGGACAGAGAGCCCTTCACCACAGGTATGAGTTTCAGCTGATGCATAGTAATAATGGCTCACACCTGCAGAGTGTTAAGTCCATACTTTGCTTATACACAATCTCATCTAACTAGCTCCAGAATATGAAGAAGCAGACGCTAGGAGAATCAGCCTCATTTTGCAGAGGGAAAATAGGGCGTGAAGAAATAACTTCTCAAGATCATTCAGCCATCAAGTGATAGGGGCAGAGACCAACCCCTAATCAGCCCAACAACAGAGCTCCTGTTTTTGGGCCAGGGCTGCTTCCCCATGAGTGCGATTTGTGTGCACACATCTCACTGTCCTTCAGCCAGGACACAGCAGGAGGCAGCATGGTGCAGAGAGAGGGCATGAGCTAAGAGGTCTCTCGGTTGCTAATCGAGAGACCAATGACCGCAGGGGTGGCTCCTTTTATAGGGTACAATCTCCTTATTTGTAAAATAGGTGTTCTGTAAGGAGGAAATGTTTCATGAAGCCTGAAGGTGCTATTCAAATGTTCAAATTGCTTTGTTGATGTGTACAGTTGTCTAGACATTGGGTATGCTGCCCTTCTCCCTCCACAGTTTACGCAGAATGTTCTCTGACTCCAACCCTTTCCTCATGGAGCCACTTTCAATCAGTCCTCAAACAGCTACCACTTATGGACCAGCTACTATGGGACAAGTGCTGTACTAACCCCCAAAATCTGATCTAGATTTTCTCCAATCCATATGCCAACCCAACAATGGAATGTATTGTTATACCCACCTTTCAGGTGATGAAACTGACCAGAGAGGCTAAGTAATCTGCCCATGTTTGCATACATAGTTGCAAAAGTTGAACCTACATCTTTCTGACTTCAAAGGGGGTGCTACCATATCATGTGCCACCATGTCATTCTTCAGTTGAGGAACTAGGTGCATCTGAGGAAGGAGCCCATAAACTAAATGAATAAGGAACCCAGAATCGCAGCTCCCTTTCAGCAGTTTCTTAGCTGTATTTGGAACAAGGCGATGCCTGTGGCCTCCCTTTCCTCCTGTTAGCAAAATGACACAGGTTTTAGATTTGAAGCTGCTGTGTGCAGATGTTTGCCTGAATTGCAGCGCTGCTCTGCAGAGTCATGAAAAGCCATGTAGGTGTCTGTCTGGGTTTTGCATAGCCCACTGCAGAATACCGTACAGGTTCTGCGGAATGGAGACAGACTTGAGCTCAGACTCTGCCTGAGCTCACCGCTATGAGACATGTAGGTACCGATGCCAGGGCCTTCACGATCATCCCCTGACACACAAGTTATGTTTTAAATTTCCTTTTTTAATGTTTAAAAATCTTTTTATAAACATCCTTTCCTGAAAATACATCTTGATCCTTGATTAACACCTTGTTCAAGATGTCTTGGAAGAAATCCTTTGATGATGCTTAGACTTTGCGCAGGAGACTCCTAATATCCTCAGACAATACACATAAATCAGAATTTCAAAAATACATGCCTGAGGATATAAGTATGTTTTAAAGTACTCCTTTAAAATAAGCACTTCACCCTAAGCAAAGCTTTGTAAACAATAAACATCTTTCATACCATCAAAACATGCTTTAATTATCCAATGAGCACTTCACAATGAACTGTGCTCTTAGGATCTTCCATAGACTTGGTACATGCTCAGTCCCTACAGAGTAAATCATGCTTAGAAAATGCATCTCCAGGCAGTGTACGATGATTCACCTTGGGGTGTTAACTGTGCTTAGGTTTGGGATGGAGGGAAGGGAAGAGGACCTAACTAACGCCTTTCAGTACCCACTCATCATGCCCATGACCTTCCATATAAGTTGTCATGTGACCCCCTACAGCAAACCTATGCAGATTGCATCCACCTTTACCCTTGTAACAGGTGAGGAAATTGAGATGCAAATGTTCAATTGAGCTAGGTGTGGAGGTTAACGACTGTAATTCCAGCACTAGGAAGGCTAAGGCAGGAAGATTGCCATGAGTTCAGGGCCATCCTGCACTACATAATGAGATCAAGGCCAGCCTGAACTACATAGTGAGACTCTGTATCAAAAATCCAACCTTGGGGGCTGGGGCGATGGCTCAGTAGAATAAGCACTTCCCTGGTAAGTGCAAGGGCCTGAGTTCAATCCCGGTTCTGGAAAAATAAAAAATCCAACCTCCATTGATGTGAGCATTGTTCAGCATGTAGAAGTTTTGCTTCTAGACCTAGTGGGATCTAACTAATGATGCTTTGATTACATGGATGGTAAGGCATACTTCTATGGAACTTCAGATGGAATAAAAATTAAGTTGCTTTGATAACTTGGCCATGAAAAATTCAGAGAGGACAGAATGTCATTTGTCCCCAAAGAAAAATTTTTAAAAACCTCCCAAATCCACCACTACCACCACCACCAATAACAAAAATGGGTTGTTTGCAGCACCCGAGGAGAATTTCTCACCCACCCCCTTCCTTCTTGTTAAAAGATGTTTCAAGAATCATCTGGAGCACTTTGCATATGTTCTACTATACATAAAACTCAGGCCATGCAAAGATCTTATCTGTCAATAAAAGAGGCACAGGATCCCATGAAGACAAGGATCTTTTGATCATCATCTATATTAAAGAAAACATTGATTATATTGTATGACCATATAAGGTGAAGATGAGATGAATTTCTATTTTATAAAAATGGAAAGTATATTAACAAATCAAAGTATTATTTTTTCTTTTTCTGATTATTCAGAATTATAAAGATAAATTAATAAAGTCAACAATATGGTATTAACTAATGTCACATATATAGCTTACTATTTTTATTTTTGCTAACATTACACTAGAGATAATAATGGTATTTTTCATTAAAATATGCATTCAAGGGCTGGGGAGATGGCTCAGTGGAATAAGCACTTGCCTGGCAAGTGCAAGGGCCTGCATTCAATTCCCAGTTCAAAAAAAAAATGCATTCAAGCAAAAAAAGAAAAAAAGAAAATGTTGAAAAGCACAAAACCCACAGCACACCACTATGGGGTATGAACACTTATACCCAGAGTGGTATGAACTTGAGCAAGCCACTTAATATTTTCAAGCCTATAAGAATAGGTGTTTTGGAAGGGACCTTTGCCAATCCAAAAATCTGGGATTGTTCCATGCTTCTACTCAGTCAGTACCCCTCTTCTCAAAGTATTGCCTATTGTGTCCTCAATTTAAGGGCCTCCTGTCTGTTGTTTACAGGAAAGAAGCCAACATTTTCTGACAAGGTAAGCTGTTTCGCTGGTTTATTTTTGGTTATGGTTTTGGTGTTTTTACGTCTTGTTCTTATTCTTCAGGAAGTGTTTGGCCACTCACGTATTTTTTTCTCTTGCCTTGCAGCCCTTGGCTCCAGGGGTGAGGTAAGATGCTGTGCGGCATCTAGGGGAGGCCAACAGGCATTGCTGTAGAGCTCTGCCAAGGCAGTTAAATTTGCTGCTTACACACCCTTTCTCTGAACTTGGCAGGACTCCGGGGGACCATTTACCCAAGGTGCAGAAGCCTCTTTTACCACCAACTACCGAGAGACATGAAAGAAGCAGCCCCCTGCCAGGGAAGAAGCCACCTGTACCGAAGTAACTATCTTGGATTGTTTGAGTTTGTCTTTCAAACAGAGTGGATGAAATGGGGAGTTTGTCCAGTGTCACCTCCACAGGGACACAGAGAATCACATGCTCCCAGGCCCCTTTTGCTACAGTGGTTTAAGTGGTACCTCAGATTAGATGTCAAGTACAAGGGTTTCTTTGAAGAGGGGACTCTTGCTGAGAAATGAACAAAGAAAAGCTTAATCGGGTGGATGGGACCAGAGCTATCTGGGGAGACCTTGTCTTTAACCAGCCCAGTCAGTGCTGGCTTTTTCCTACCCAGTAAGAGCAAAGCCTTCTCGGTGCATAGGAACTTACCACTTTGTTTCTCAACACAGGCAGCAGAGGGGGGAAAAGCTGGGAAAGTCAATATGCTATTCAATCACTTCTCATAACTGCAGAATCCTGAGGTCTGCTCTAATATTTCTAAATCTGCCATAAGGTATTTTGTGTCCTATATACCAAATGGCACAAATGTACCTGGTATCCAGGCTGACCCTACTGTTTAGGAGAGAAACAATCATGCTTCTTTTTATTTCTTCTAAGCAGTTGGAATTTATAATGATTGCTTTGTTTGGCTGTTTTGAGCATTAAATCGGGACCAGGCCTAGGATGTGCCAATGCCCTCCCCACTTCCCCCCAAGAAATTCCCCTCAGTAATGGATTCTAATAATATTTTAACCCATTAGATTTTAAAAATCAAAATGAATGCAAGCAATCACAAAGTATCAACATTTTCAATAAACACAGGATGAGCTGATGTAAAACACCCAACAACTTAGAAGCATTTCAATAAATTGTCCTCTCCCTAAATGCATCGTGTGGTCCAGGTGGTGCAGATGTCTGTGGCAGCACTCAGACAGCTGCCACCAAATCTGTTTGACTGGCTCCTTCATCTGAGCTGACCGTACCAAACCCCTTTTGGAAAAGTTCCACAGCAGGAACACTTTCCAACTGTTTTCTCATTCCTTTGAAGGTAGGCTGCAGTGGATGCTTTGAAACATTAGCGAAAGAGAATATTACCCCAAATGTTTGCATTTGCTTACAGAAACATCTACTCAGTGAAATGTAATAGCTGCAAGAGTTAGACTGCTGACTACACATTATATATATATATATATATATATATATATATATATATATTAGTTACACAGAACAGAGGATTGCCAAGCTCAGATTACAAAGATGACAGAACATTCAGTAACCAAAGCTCCCTTCCACTCATAGATGCTGGCTTTCTGTTGGGATTTGCAACTTCCCCTTTAGCCATAGCTCAGAGGATTTGATTTTTTTTTTATGAGATTTTGGAAATTAAGTTTCAAGGCTGGCTCTTTGAAACTCCTGATGCTCACTTCTTTTTCTTTGCCCTAATTCATTTTAGGCATGGATGGGGGGCAGACAGAAGAGATAACGTAAGTACGAAATGTCATTATGTAAGAGCGTGGGCCAGGGAGAAGCAGAGTAGGTGAGGTCTGGCCTGTAGCATGGCACCCTTGGACTGCACACAATCAGCTCATGAACACAGGCACCTGTGCCTTTGGAGTCCTGCTCTCTCCTGGAAGCCACTGTGCAACACTGAGCAGCTCCCGGGGTGGACAGGTTCAATGGAGCCCTATTACCCTATCAGCAAAGTGAAGGGACAGTAAGTACAGGGGATCATCAAGTGGGAGATGCTTAAGCATCTTTGCATTACACAAAGTTTCCTAGAGCTCTGTTTTCTTTTTTAATATTTCCATGACCTGAAAAGAAGGGAAATAACATTACCGAATGCTCTGTAGAGTGACTACCTATTTGCTGGGGCTTTCCCAGTGCTTATTAGTGCTTATATTAGTGCTGAAAGTCTCATGCAAACCAGAGAAGTTGATCACTCCCAGCTTATTTCTCCTAGGAAGAATTACCCTTTCTCTATAAATGAGAGTAAATTGCTCAAAAAGGAGAAGATACTTGTTGAAATGTGCTCAGCTAGTGAACAGTCAAGATTTGAACTCAGATCTCTCTGAGTTTCTCCACACTTGAAGTGTTCTGAAGGCTAATAAACTCCTGCTCTTGATCAAACCCGCAACTAGCAATGGCCACTGTTTTCCCAGCTCTGTGATGGATGCTGTGTTTGTTCAAATGGAGGGTTACACCATTATAGTCCCAGGCACCCCCATCACATGTGATAGACAGCATATGATCATAGAATGATCTGTGGAAGGGAAAGAAAGTGATTCACTTGGGTCAAGGATCCAAAAGTGACTTCTGAAGGGAGGTGAGATTTATGATGTTTGTATGGGGAGAACATGGAATAGGGTGACCCTAGAAGGAGAGCTGGGTACATGAAGGATGGCAGCTGGGCTGCACAGAGACACAGTCACAGTAGAGGTAGGAAAGTGAGAGTAATGTCACATTCCTGAGGTTTCCAATCTCTGGAAGGATTGATCTTCAGAAGACACTGTTGTAATAGTGTTAATCAGTGATGCCATTGTGAGAGTTTGTGAGCCCTGTGCTGATTTATGTAGTTCTCTGTTGGGTCTCTTAGTTGGCCCTCTGAGATGAGTGATTCTGTAGTTGCCCTTGCTTTGTGTCAGTGTGTTGTAGGACCAATGTTAGCACACTTAAATTGAAAAAGTAAAGAGCACTTAACATAGATGTGGCTCACGCAATTACCAGTTTAATCCTCACAGTAACATTTTGTCGCTACTGATCTGGCCTAACATGTTCAAGTTGGCCCTTTTGGTCTACTAGTTAATAGTAAAATCACTTTGTCTCTCTGACTATCATTTCTTATCTAAGAAGAAAAAATCGATCTTCCTTTGTCTAGTTAAAAGGTGGAATATAAAAACTGGTGAGGGCTGTAGGTGCACCTCATAAGCCACTCTATAAAAAATTAAGGTCACTTAGATTTTAGTGAGTGTGGGCATTGCACAGGAGAGGCAGAGCTTTGGGCCCCATAGAGCTGGGTTTGAATCCATTTTTTACAACTATTGGCAAGTAAGGAATTCTTCCTGAGCCGTGTATTTCCACTGGCAAGATAAAGACATTATATTCTAAAAGAGTTGCCAGGAAAATTGAATGAAATATTGAATATGAATCTTTTAGGTACATCATAGATATTGTAAATATCATATCTGTGAACCCTGTTAGGAACCTCAGAACTTATTTCAATATACATGTATGAGGAAATCTGATTGGAGTGTCTTTGATGGTTATTTGTACTACAAAATTATAGACCACTTAGAAAATTCTACCCTGTTCCACAGTATATTTATCATGAAGCCATAATTGCTAGAGAAAGAACCATGCACATTTATATCATTGAGAAATTTAATTATCAATTTAGGGATTGTGTTTTGATCATATACTAACATCTCTTTTTCCCCCTTACCAGGATGAAGATGATGGTATGTTCAGAAAATCTTTTCTACAATTTGTATCTTATTTTCTCATTTTTTTATTCTCAGGCATTCATATAAAATCATTTAGTATGGAAACTTCTAGAATTGTGATTATTGAAGTAATAATTACATGTTAATTGATGTACTTCACAACTGTAGCAAAGTGGAATTATTTTTGTTAGGTTACCAAAGCAAAATTTTAATTTATTTTTACTTTTTATACACAAGTAAAAATTAAATTTACATGTACTATTTGATAGAAAAGGTCTAATATTTATGCCCTGTAGCACCTGTGTGTAAAGAATCAGTAAGCATGAATGAATCAGATTGCACAAAATTTTATCTTTCATAAAATGAAACAAAATTTGTGAATCATTTTAGAAACATAAGTTTTCCAGTTGATAAGTTTCTGCTGAGATAGCATTTCAAAAATGAAAAAATATAATAAATACATAATACATAGGATAGTATCATTTTATAAACACATCCTAAGGTAGCGAATCATTTAGAAAAACTTCAGGGCTGGGGTTCCATCATGTGATTTTCTAAGTATGCCTGATCTTTTGGATTTATATCTCCTTTATTTTCTATCAACTGTGTTGAACTGCAAAGCAGTTCTAGAATGTTCCTAGTGGATTCTGACGGACTTTTGACTTCCTTTTCTTCTCTCCCACAGTGCATCAAAGACCTTTGCCCCAGCCAGCACTCATTTCTATGAGCTCCAATACTTTTCCTTCAAGATATACTAAGCCAAACTCCAAGCACTCCTTCCCACCATCTCACATGCCTGGAGCTTTCTCAGAAAGGTTTGTGACTCTGGAAATTAAATCCTAACCTGATGTAATGTCTAGGTCCACCTGACACTGAGGGAATGCCACACAGCTTCAGGAAGAAAGAAAGGAGTCAGCACGTGATAGATCTAAACATCTGGGGTCTTAAAAAAACACCACCAAGCTGAGCGTCAGGACAACATGCTAAGCTACTGCTGCCCTCGCGGTGTCTGTGCTTGCCCAGTAATCATCCATCCTAGGTGGTGTGGACACTTGGGCAGAAGAGGGGGGGAGGTTTTCACATTATTGACTTAACTGAACAAATAAACAGGGGCTGGGCTACAGCTCAACAGCACAGTAGCACCTGTCTGGCAAGCTCAAGGTCCTGAGTTCGATTTCTAGCACTCCCAAAACAAACATACAAGTAGCAAATATTAAGAGACCCACCTAATTTAAGTGACTTGGAGTTTCTCCTGCATCTTGGGTGGGGAGACTAAGAAATGTGTCTTGCACTTAGCAGATGCTGAGAGTTCATTGCACAGGCTTTTTCCCTGGTGAGCTCATTTTCTCAATAGCAGTAGCATCTTTCACAGCTTGTAGGAAGGCTGTCCAGAGGCAGAGGCATGAAGAAGAAAAATACCTAAGTTATTCCTCCCCAGCCAAGCCAATAGGTTGCCTCATGGTGTCCCCCAATGTACCTTTAATAGTCAAAATGAAAAGTCTAAGTCCTCAGCCTATGCATGGTAGAAAATGTAACCACCAGCAAGATATGTCCACCCTGCCAAATACATGGAAAGATTATCAAATTGTTTCATTTTTCCTGGGTGTCCCTTGCCTTTACTTTACTTTTCATCCTTCCAGATGTTTTATTTTTCTTTTTGCCATGTCTGTCATTTTTCTCATACTGCTTCATCTGACATTGGTTCCAATCTATGCTTTATTCTTGAAAATGAACACCCACATGAGTTGTTGCACTGAGCACACCCTTGCAGACAAGGTGGTGAATGGGTGCATTACAGCTCAGCATGGAGGGAATGGGTAGTGTTGCAGGCCTGCCCAGATCCTCCTTCCCCATCCCAGTCCCTGTGAGCATGGCTCTTCCTGGGGCAGCAACATCTGAGGCTCACTTCCTTTCCCGCATGCCTTACTAAAGGCATCTCAATGACAAGTAAGAAGCACCCTCAATCCGCCTTCTTAAACCAACTCCTCAGTCTGGCTTCATCACCTAAACCAACTTAAAACCCATTCTTTTTCTGTCTCCACAGTAACAGCAGCTTTCCTCAGAGTGCCTCCCTGCCACCATACTTCTCTCAAGGTTGGTACATTTCTGCTTTCCCAACCTATTCCAGCCAACTTGTCTGTATTGATTCCCAACAATCTCAAAGTCTTTTGGCAAAGGCTTTAATGTTTTCTAAAAATATCTGAGTTCCTCACTCAACATTTAATTCAGTGTCTACAGTGTACTAAGGGTTGTTGGAATGCTAAGAGACAGTAATATACAAATTACTGCACAAGCGTGCACATGCACGCGCGCGTACACACACACACACACACACACACACACACACACACTTCACTTCCCTGGCATGATATCCCTAATCTTTCCATGCGCAGATGTTTCTCCCTACTATTTTCTTACTGAGCTCAGGGAGTGGCTGATTTTCTCTGTAGTTTTAGGTTTCCTGATGAATCTGCTCTTGATTTATGGGTTAGGGGAACATGTTTAAGATACAGATTAAGAAAGAGTCTAAGAATAAGAGAACCTCACTCAAAGATCCTAATTCAGTAAGTCAGGGCTGGGGCCAAGGCAACTGTATTTTTAATGATACTACCTCTAGATGGTTTAGACGGTCATCAAACTTTAATGTGCATACAGATATCTTGGGAATTCTGTTAAAATGCATATTCTAATTTAGTAAGTCTGGGAGAGGCCTGAAATTCTGCATTTCTAACAAGTTCTTAGGGAATACTAATACTACTGGTCTACTCTGAGCAACAGTTAGATCCTACAAGCTAGGACTAGATTGTGTTTATTTTTATTTTTAAAGCAAGTGGCTGGCAATGGAACTTTAAAAATGCTTGTTGAAAAATAAATAATAGAAATGCTTGTTGAATGACTATCAAATAACTGGAAAATTACCCAACTGTAGTAAGGACATTTTGCAATGACAAGAACTGGCCAACAGATGCCAAATTTTCTCATTTCTTTTTCAAGAAAAGTTGAAATACGGCCTTGAACATGAGATTAGCCATATTTAAAAGTTGATTTAATTTAAAAAATATCATTGGGGACAAATAGAACAGAACTTTTTAAATTTGGTATTATGGTCCATTTGGAGATACACCAGTGTGTGTTTTAAACAGAACACTAAATTGCTAAATTTGAGTTAGGGCTCACAATTTTCCTGGAGCACTTCCCTTGTATTTTGTTGGATGCACCATTCCATAAGTGTGTTCCCAGTGCAGGAACCAGGAATACCCTCCAAAATTTCAAAGCATTTAAAATTAGTGCCCATATTTGCCATATGGTTTTCAGTTGCCTGCTCCACCTCAATTTTTACAATCTCCCAAATTTACTATTTTTAAACCCACATTTGAGTGTCTTCTATCAGTCTCTGAGCTCCTGACACTTCACTTCAAGCAATTATTTCCCAAAGTACATTTCCCTAGCTCTCTGGATTTCTAAGTTGATGCTAGGGATTACTAATGCAGAGTCATTTTTTAGAATACAACTTAATCAGGGGGCTGGTGAGATAGCTCAGCAGTCTAAAGTGCCGGCTTAGGGAAGCTTAGGCAGGTGCAGGGGACTATGGTTTGATCCCAGGCACCATACACTGTGTCAGCCCTGTCCTTAGGGTGGGCTGAGCAGGCCAAAAAAAACCTTAATCAAAATTGATCCATCTCCTCCCCAAGACTTCCAGGACACATGGTCCTCTGTCTTCTGTACCGACTGCTCGAACTCCAGAGAGGCAAATGGTTTGTGCAATGCATTGTCCAAAAACCTAGCACCAACTCCCTTAAGAATCCAAACATTCAGAATGGTAGATGATTGCAATAAAAGGCATGTATGCCTGTGTGTTGTGAATCACAGCTCTGTGGCGCTGGCTGGTGGATGCAGAAACCATCATCCCTCAAAACTAGGATAGTCATGCAATATAGCTGTGGTTCTACGACTATTATACTGCTAGATTTCATTCATTCAACAAGCATTATAAAAGTGTAAAAGTGCTGGGCTGCACAGATAGAGCTGGGGAGGGTCTGTGTAGGTACTGGGAACTGGAAAAGGAAGATGCTGGGAGTTGAGGCTGAGCTGTTTATTTAGATAGAAGGCCACCTTTAATAATCCTGGTGACAGTTTCGGAGACCTCAACCTTTCCCAGGTGACTCTTATCCTCATTGGTAGTGGCACAGATATAGTAACAATGCTAACACAGAACCACTTCAGGTACTTATTAACATGCTGATTCCTGGGTCCCGGGGAAGTCAAAATTCCTTAGGCATTCTCTCTATGCATAGTAATTTTGGGACCCAGAGGTTTAAGTCTTGGCCCTGTCACTGTCAGACATGATTTGAATATCTTGTTTCCATAGGCAAAGAAAACAAAATAGTCACCTTATAATGTTGCCGTGAGGTGAAGGGAAATGTACACAAAACACACTACTCAAGATCTGGGCCAAGTACTGCTGAACAAACGTTTGTGTTCAACAAACAAATGATGATAAATAATTTAAGGGAACATTAGCTAATAGAATTTTCAAATTCTTAATAGCTGTTCTGACATACAGAAAACAGCTGGCTAACTATGGTCAACTCAGTCAAATCTTTCCTGGGATGAGGAAACATTCTCACAAATTTTCAGGAACTATAAACAACATGAAGAGAGAGTCAGGTAGAGTGAAGTATAAGGACTAGGTAATCTAAGGTTTGATCAGGAAGATGTCCTGGTTGATCAGATAGTCTGTACTGTCTTTGTTAAATAGCCCCCCTTCATGAAAAATTCAGCAAAAAAAGAGGAGATTGAAAATGTTGATCTCAAAGCTTACAATATTCTCAAGGTAATTTCTTACTGTCTTGGGTAACTTACATGTCTTATTATAAAAACAATGAGAACAATTATCTTCATTACTGTAATTCCACAGCACTAACAGCTGGGAATCCATTCTTTGCATAGTGCTAATTACAAGAATCCATGAAAGATCTGTCTATTGAATATTCTGGATATTCACATGGAAACAACGGTGACTTTCTTATAACTGGATCAAATTGCTTTGCATGGGAAATCATTAGAACTTGAGATTCTGCCCCCAGAATTCCACTGACATAGTTACAGAATACAGTAATGCCTGAGCAGCCTCAGTAGTTTTGAGCAGGTGAAAATTATTTTTAAAATCAGTTTTCTTGAAATGTTAATTATTGGAACAAGAGCAAGGGCATTTGGGGATGAGATGCCTTATGAGGGAAGTAAATAATAGCTCGCAGTAAATTAATTTTCAGAATGTTTTATTTTAAAGGCTCCAGCAACAGACTGCCACTCAGAGCTGAAGGCAGAAACTTCTCCTTGCCAGTCCCGAGCAAACCTCAGCCACCATCCCTGGGGGAGGAGGAGGTAACGAAGCCCGTTGTTCTTTTTGCTTCTTTTCCCTACCACGTGGGTCATAAGAAACTGCCCTGAAACGTTCTTCTATACTTTTGTTTTCTATCATCTTATTTATTCATTTTTAATCAAAGGGGAGAGGGTAGGGTGCAGCTCAGTGGCAGAGCTTTTGCCCATCGTGGATGAGGCCCTGGGTTCAATCTCCAGCACCTCAAAACTGTTAGAGGGAGAACCAGGGGAAAGACATGCATTTCTCCTCCTTTCAGGTTCTTCCAAAGGTGAGCATGCATTTTGCATTAAACAATAAGAAAAACAAACCTATTTTCCTTCTGCTTCCTAGCTTTACTCTTCAAGTCTCCACTTAGCTGCTCCGTTAGTGGCAGATTTTTCCTTAAGTATGTGCTGTTATCATACACACACCTGGAGAAATTATTACCCCTGACTAGAGGTTCCATCTTATGAGAAACACTTACGTGTGCCTTTGCAACCAGTGCCATGATGAAAAGCAGTTAAAATACCTTCTGCATAGCCCCATATAAATGATTCTTTATTCAAGTTAAGAAAACAAGCATTTAAAAACTCATGGAATTCAGGTGATGATTTATGGAAATTATTGCTTGGAGGCTTTTCTTTTTACTTACCTATGTGACTACAAAATTTATCCAGCTTTTAAAAATTTACATTTACAGAATTTAGATGAAGAGTGGTATATTTCTTACATTACCCGACCAGAGGCAGAAGCTGCTCTTAGAAAGATAAACCAGGTATTGTCTATAATTTATTTTTAAGTAGTTATAAATATTGATGGAAAGGGACAAATGGGATTAATTGGCTTACGGCATCCTAATTATGGCCTAGAGAATCTATTAGGTGCTGTTCTTACTGCCAGGTAGTGTTTCTGGGATACCCATTAGTGTCAGCCTCCCATCTACCAGGATCCCTAGCAAGGACTCCTTGAATAGGGAATCATTCAGTGGGCAGGAAAGTCTAATTTAAGGCAATCATTTGGTTGGCAGAATTTTAGGTGCTTTCTATAAAAGCTTCTGTCTTGTCATAGGAATTGTGCAGTATCATAAGGAGGCTGCCTCCCAAAATTTTGCACATCTTATTACAGTTGCCTTCCATATCACTGCAAAAGGACATATTGAGAGGGAGGGAGAGAAAGATA